GACCGGGGTTCAAGCTCTTGCACCACAAGCCACACTGGCCTCGCCCCTGGGTGTGCTGAGCCAGCCACTGAGTCTGGGTGTGGTGCTGCACGCCTCCCAGCACCGGGGAGGTTGAAACAGGAAGATCCCTGTGAGTCTGAGCTGCATAGTGAGCCCCTGTACCAAATACATAAAAATAAACAATAATAAAACAGAAGGAGCAGCCAGTGCCAAGACCCTATGACAGAGATATGGCAGTGTGGCTGCAAAGGAATTCGGGTCAGGAGGAGGTGGGGATCCTTGGGGGTCTGACCCACGTGGAGAAATGCTCCTGTTCCTGCCTCTACAGCCTTGCTAATTCCTGCAGGAAGAATCCTCGTCCCAGCATAAATCTGAAGAGTCCTTCTGACTAGACCAACAGAGGTCGTGTGCCCATTCCTGAGGGCTGAGTCTTACATCTGGATGTCCCTCATAGGTGACACTTGGGGGAGTGGCTGGATGATGGGTGTGTGGTCCTGGGTTAGGGCCCTAATGGGTTTATAGCTGGAAGTGATGCTGGGAGGTAATACCTGGTGAGAAGAGGTGGGTCCCTTGGACGTGGCCTTCAGCACATGCTGCCTCCTGCCTACCCTGCCTTGGACTGTTTCTCCTCTTCAATTTCCCTCTGCCATGCCACCTTGCCTTGGAGCAAGCTGCCTTATGGACTGAAACCACTACCAATGGTACACTGCCATAAACCTCTCCTGTCTAACTTGTGTGGGTCGGGTATTTTGTTCTAGGAAGAAGAGTAACAAAGACCCTGAGCAGAGGAGGGAAAGTTCCCCTGCTCCCCCTGATCACACCATAAGAAAGAGAAGCACACGGTTCTCCCTAAAGAACAGAGGCTGCTGGGCAGGGAAGAAGGGAAAGGTGGGGGGAGGTGTCAGCCCGTGGCCCAAGGTGCCCCAGCCAGGGTCATTTCAGGGAATGGAGCTAAGGTTCAGGAGAGGCCTGGCACCTAGCAGTTGGTCCTTGGAAAGCAATTATCCCTTTTGCTATTTTACATAAAGGGCCAGTGTGAGAAAGAGATGCTAACTTCAATGTGTGGACCCCAAAGATAAAACTAGTGCTTATAAATACAAAGCCTGGGAAGTTAGGCAGGCTCTGATGCAAACCAAGAATTTTCTAATAACTGGAGTTGCCCCCTGAGCCTCCTGTCCCTGCAGGGCCCAGGAATGATCCTGGCTCTCCAGGCAGCTGTTGGAGGAGGTGTGGGGCAGGTGTACCTGAGGCCAGTGGGCCAGGATTCTGCCCTCTAACGGTGGTCCACATGCGAAACCAGGAAACGAGGTCATTGTCTCTTTAATAACCCACAGCATCAGAAGTGTGCAAGAAAAGAGAATTAAGAGATTAAAACTCCCCCAGCCTCTGACAATCTGGGCCCAAGGGAAAGGGGGACGGGACAAACCACATCCCACACAAGACCCTACAAAACTGATCACTGAAAGCTCAGAGCTGGACCAGGCATCTTCAGATACTCTGAGCCCCTGGGAAGTAAGTGGAGGGGCCTGAGAAGGGGTGCTCCCTCCAGAGAGACCCCAGCAAGCCGTGCTTGGTGTCTGCAATGGTTAATGCTGGCTGTCATGTGACCGGACTGGGAGACACCTAGCAAACTGGTAATGCGCAGTTCTGGGAGCGCTGGTGAGGTGCCCCCTAAGATGATGGGGGTGGAGGAAGCCAACCCTGGGGACCCGCGTGGCACAGAAAATCAAGCACAAAGGCAGCTCTCATGTGCACTCAGCCCTTCGTGAGCAGGTGTTTCTGCATACCTACCATGGACGTCAGGGTCCAGATTCGTCAGCCTAGGAACTGGGCTCTGCACTGTGGCCACCAGGGACTCTGCGCAGGGGCTGCGTCCTTTGCTCTTCTGCTTTGGAAGCTCCCAGCTCCCCAGGCCTCGACCCACCTCTAGCCCCAGCTGCCCTCCCGCTCTGCCTTCTTGCATCCCGAGCGCCATCAGCCACCTGTTCCTCCTGAGGCAGCCTCGGGCTCCCTCCCCACCCCCACCCCCACCTTCCTCTTGCTCTCCCGGCGCCGATTCTAACACTTCTCTGTCCTCTGAGCCTCTTCCCAAAAGCCAGCGTCCCCTGAAGTCTTCCCCGATCACTCACCAGTCACTGTCCTAAAATCTGAGTTTCCTTTCATCACTGGTGCATCAACAGCTAGTGGTCAACTTGTAACACCCAGCGTGGTGCCAGGTGTGGGGGCCACCTGAGGACCACCGGCAACAAAATAAAAAGGAGAACGGAGATAAGGAAGATGGTTTGTTAGGGAGCTGTTGGTTCTCCTGGAGGAGCTTGTCCTGCTGGCTTCCTGGCATGAGCACAGCTGTTCTCACTGTCAAAGGAGCTCGGGTCCTTGTCGACCCTGGGAATGGGTGTGGTTCACTCTGGTCCCTACTTTGAGCATCGCTTCCTGGCTCTAGAGGGGAACATGGTGCGCTGTTCAGCCTCCTGGAGAAGTTTGTCGTTCTGGTGCTCCTGACGTGGATGTGGCTGCTCTACCGTGAGAGCAGCTCAGGGCCGCACTGTTGCTGCGGATGGTGGCTGGGCTACTTTTCAGGGGAGCTCTGGCCCTTACTTTGAGCATCACCACTTCCTGGCTCCAGAGCAGATCCCTCAGCCTGCTGGCACAGATCGTTCATCCCGCTGGCGCAGGCTTTCCAGCTTCCACTCACCTTGGGGCTTCCCAGCGCAGATCCATGACATGGGTCTGCGTGAGACATTGCCGTGGGCTCTGGGTCTTCAGCCGAACTCCTGCAGGACATTGCCATGGGGTCCAGGCACTAAGCTGGATTCTTTGGGATGGATTTCCTGCCCTCTCTTTGTATACGACTCTTTGGGTGCTCCATTATACTCCCCCACCCTTTTTTTTTTTTTTTTTTTTTTTTTTTCCCCAGAACCAGGGATTGAACTCAAGGCCTTGTGCTTGCCAGGGAAGTGCTTATTCCACTGAGCCATCTCCTCAGCCCGGGGTGATTCATTATAAAATCATCCTATAAATTATGTGTCCTGCGCTGCTCCCCTTGCAAGCCCTGACCACAACAATCACACACTCCCTGCCTGGGGAAACAGCTTTTTCCCCATACTCTGTGTCCCCTCAACCAGTCTTCCTCCAGGAAGGGCCATCTGTGTTGAGCCACACAGCCTGGCAGCTAGAGACAGGCCCCAGCAAGGCCTCTGACAATGTGGTCCTAGGCCAGGGCCCTAACTTCTGTTAGCTCCCCTTTCCCCACATCTGTAAAACAGGGGTCATAATGGCACCCAGGTGACAGTGATTTGCAGGAAGCAACTAGACACAGCAGTAAGATCTTGGTGGAGGGCTGGAGAGATGGCTCAGTGGTCTAAAGCACCTACTTAGAACAAGCTAAGCAAAGCATCGGGGACCGCGGTTCAATCCCCCAGCACCACATGCCAGCCAGCCCCGCCCCCTGGTGGGCTGAGCTGGCCACACACACACACCATACTCTCTCTCTCTCTCTCTCTCTCTCTCTCTCTCTCTCTCTCTCTCAAATTAAAAAAAAAAAAAAAAGATCTTGGTGGAGACCTGGCCCAGGTGATGGTGTGACTCTCAGTTCAGATGCAGCCGGGCCTGGGATCCACGGGCCTGGGATCCACGGCCACAGATTCAACCAGCCACCAAAGCAAAAAAAAAAAAGTTTTTTAAAATTACAGAAGTACTGACCACAGAATTTTTTATCCTTGTTATTCCCTCCTCTCAGCTTAGCAACTACTTTTAAAACATTGAGACATTCTACTAATATGATAAGTCATCTAGAGATGATTTGAACTTTAAAGTGTGTGGTGGCACACATGTGTAAGCTCAGCACTTGGGAGGCTGAGGCAGGAGGGTGGCTGCAAGTTTGAGGCCAGCCTGAACTACATAGTGAGACCCTGGGTAAAATATTTTAAAAACTTAGAACATGGAAGTATGGGCACAGGTTGTTTGCAAATACGATGCCACTTTATGTGAGAGACGTGAGCATCCTCAGAGTTGGGCATCTATCCTGGAAGTGGGAGGTCCTGGAACCTGTACCTGGGAAACTGAGGGGTGACTGGTTTTTGTTTGTATTTCTGGGTACCTCTCAGGATCCAGGGCTATAACTGACACTCAGAATTAACAAGGCAATGGCCTGAGGGAATAGGAGGTGGAGGGGAAAGAAAGGGGAGAGGAGGGAAAGGAATGGAAAAGGGAGGAAAGGGGGAGGGAGA